GTCACTGGAATAATTTTAACAGCTGTCAAACGAGTGGCTTAGAAATGAGAGCAATCTTAAGTTGGATGCAGTTTTTTCATCTCATCCTGTATATCTCTGTAATATTTTTACTAAGGCATCCCATGTCCTTGTTTTCTACCTTTTTTTAACAAATGGTCAATTGAATGTCATGTTTGCAATAAAAAACCTAATGAATTGCATTTTGTCTTTCCTGTTAATCAACGTTGATTTTAATTCCCCTTGCTTTGCTTCGTCCTAGCAATTTTCAAATCATTATCGTTGCAATTAGAGAAAAAACAAGCTTCTAATTATTACAAGCATTTTCTACTCTTTCAATTGCAAATTATTCATTTCTCCAAGAGCAATCTGCAAGGAAACAAGAATGACTGCATGGTTTTTCACTTTTCTAATTTCCAGCAGTCTGCATTGACCTTGACCTTTTTTGTTTTGATATTGCAACAAACCACAAACATACATTTATATGGGTTTTTGATTTTTGAGAACATACATTTTTTTGAGCCAATGATTTAGTTGGCCCAACACAGCCAGGCATTTTTGCAAATGACCAGCTAAAAATTAAAAATACTCAAGAGTATATTGCGGCGACCATCATAAACCCATTTGCCATACCCCACCCCCGAAAAAGTGGAATATACACAGAATCCTTGACTAAACGCCAATTATTTAAACAAAAGCAGACTCGACGTCATCATAATAAAGAATATCCTTATACGGATTCGAATGAAAATCGCAATGTGATTGGTCATTAGACAAGTGTTCTTTTTTTTGGTTGGAAACCACACAACATGGAAAATAATGCAGTAGAGTAGTAATGGCAGAGGTAGTACATCTGCAGGATATTATTTCGTTCAAATGGAAATTTAATTAAATTACAGGTTGAATATGACAGAAATTCTGCATAATTATTTAATAAGGAAAGGGCAAATGTAAGAAGCCATAAATTTATAACTTTATAATACATTGTGTAAATAAATGCAAACACCAAACTGTTGTAAAACTTCATAAGGCATATGGGGGAATATTTTAAAATGTTTTTTGAAACAATTTTCCGAAAAAATTCAGGTGTGGTGAATTTCTGAAGAAACTCACCACACTTGGATTTTTATTAAAAATGACTATACAGCCATCGTGCTTACATTTAAAGCTATAAATATGGTATGGTAAAAAGTAAAGAAGCTGTAAATTCGGCCGGGCCGAACTTTGAGTGCCCCCCAACATTAGGTACCAATTTGGCAATTTTGAAAAAAATAAAATCCGTTAAAAATTCTTTGAAAATCTAAAAAATACCGAATATAGCCGTTATATTAGGGTCTATACGACGACGTGGACCTGCATAAGCAGCTTTTGTCATAAGCCATTCCAACATTTAAATGCGAATCGTTATAGGGGGGCTATACTATATATAGCCGTTATATTAGGGGCTATACGATGACGTGGACCTGCACAGACAATTTTCTGTTATAGGCTATTGTATCCATTACGAACTTCAAGTACCTAATCACCAAAATGCCGAAAATAGGAAGGTACAATTATATGAGGGGCTATACTAAAATGTGGACCTACATGGCCCATTTTCCATACCAAAAGTCCTGCAGACATAATACACATTTGAGGAAAATTTTATCCACTTACTTCATTTCGTTTCGTTCGTTCTACCGACAGACGGACATCGCTAAATCGACATAGAATTTTATTCTATGAATTTTATTTTTCTATAGAAAAAACTAAGTCCTGAAGCCCGGCGAATTGTGAATTTTTTTCTATATAAATAAATATAATTTTTCTATAGAAAAAAATTCGCCGGACATCAGCATCAAGTTTTTTCTATAGAAAAAATTCGCCGGACATCAGCATCAAGTTTTTTCTATAGAAAAAAAATCGCGGTACATAAGGATCACGTTTTTTCTATAGAAAAAATTTCGCCGGACATCAGGACCAAGATTTTTCCATAAAAAAAAAATTCGCAAGAAGTCAGTATTAAGTTTTTTCTAGAGAAAAAAAATTCACAGGACGTCAGGGCTATTTTTTTTTATAAAAAAATTACAGAAATTCAGGACAATTTTTTTATACAAAAAAATCGGACGTCAATAGGACCAAGTGTTTTCTACAGAAAAAAAATCGGAGGTCATGAGGACCAAGTTTTTTCTATGGAAAAAAATTCCCAGGACGTCAGGACCAAGTTTTTTCTATAGAAAAAAATTCGCCGGTCGTCAGGACCAAGTTTTTTCTATAGAAAAAAATTCGCCGGTCGTCAGGACCAAGTTTTTTCTATAGAAAAAAATTCGCCGGTCGTCAGGACCAAGTTTTTTCTATAGAAAAAAATTCGCCGGTCGTCAGGACCAAGTTTTTTCTATAGAAAAAAAATTTAGCAGATATCAGGACCAAGTTTTTTCTATAGAAAAAAATTCAGCGGACGTCAAGACCAAGTTTTTTCTATAGAAAACAATTCAGCGGACGTCAGGACCAAGTTTTTTTCTATAGAAAAAAATTCAGCGGACGTCAGGACCAGGTTTTTTTTCTATAGAAAAAAAAAATCGCCGGACATCAGGACCAGATTTTTTCTATAGAAAAAAAATCGCCGGGCGTCAGGACCAAGTTTTTTCTACAGGACGTCAGGACCTAGTTTTTTCAATAGAAAAAAAATCCACCGACTTCAGGACCAACTTTTTACATAGTAAAAAATCGCCGGACTTCAGGACCGAGTTTGTCGAGTTAATGAAAAATAAATTTAATATCGAAAATATCGGCAAAAATCTTAAAATAAAGGAGAATTAATATATAATGCATTATATACAATGTTTAAAAACTATTTTAAAACAATTGCCGTGTAAATATAAGGTGTGGTGAATTTTTGAAAAACTCAACACACTTAAAAAATTTTTGAAATCGATTCAGACTAATTTTTTAAGTAACTCACCATGAAGAAAATTTTAGAAATATGTTATACAAATCGAATTTAAGCCATTTTTCCATTAAGAAGTGGATATGACCAACCACGACTAATTAGACGAGAGATTTTCTATTTGGCCAAAAAAAAAATTAGAAAATCACCCAAATTTATTTTATTAAGGCAGCGATTCTTATTTGGGAACAACATTAACCAGTAAACCTACATTACACCTTTTATACAAATATTCCACTTATATTTTCTAAACATAGACCTATCTGTCTTAGATTCAACTGGCCATTTTTAAATATTTCAAACCCCTATTCCGAATATTAAAAGCTACACCCTGCTTAAAACTGCCACACATGGACTGAATGGTTTCAGATAGTCTAATCTTGACATATTTCGTAGAAATTGTCGCCCACTTTGTGGACTATCAAAAAAAAAAACATTAGATTTCATATCGATTTTCTAAAAGTCTTCTGTCGATCTTGGGTGTTTTTGTCTTACTCATCATTTTTGTGGTCAATGCATTTTCACTTAACTTCGCTTTCCTTTGCTATTTTTGTTTTCATTTACATAAAGCCAAGGGTTCTCCATTTTTCCATTTCTTATAATTTGTCCTTTTTACAAGATTTCCTTGTTTGTTTTTGCCTCAAAGGCTCTATGGTATTTTATGTATCTTTTTTTCTCCCTCCCTCTGTCTCTCTTCTTTCATTCCGTCTTCAATTTCTAGACCATTTACTTTGAAATAGGAGAAAAAAAATCTACATAAATATCCCATGACAATTTCCGCTTACAAATGTTGTGAATTTAGCTAGAGTAGGCAGGGTATGGGAAAGGAAAGCATCCTTACATTAACACGCACGTGCGTAATTAATCTATGCAAATATTGTGGCCAAACAAGGATAATGCGAGGCCTTGGTCTCACTTTCATGGTGTAAGGGTATGCGGGACAACAGACATCCAATACATTTTTTGATGTTGCAAACGCTTTGCCGCCCATCTGAATTAGGAAAAAGGTATCCCGCAAATCAAATACCCCCAAAAAGGATATTGTCTCTCTCGATTCATATTCTTCCCACTTCCAATGCTGCTTTTATTTGCATATATTTTCGTTCTCCTGTATTAAATCTCATTTTGATAACTGCAACAACAATAAAAAATATATCCTGTAATTTATATGTATACATAAACATATGCTGCCATATTTTGTTATGGGGGGAAACATGCTATGGAAAATCTTCTTATTTCCTAGGCCCTGGCATTGTTCGTGTATTAGTAATTTTCACAAATTATCATTGTGATAAAATCTAATGCATAGAGTTGTTGGCTGGTTAATTGGCGGCTTTTGTACTCGGCGTCATGGAAAATTGACCTTCGGCAAGGAAATATCGCCTTGACTCGCTGGTATGAAGGAAACACATAATTGAGATGTAATGTAGATGATAATGGTACAATGAAACCATGGTATTGTGCGTCAGGAGCAAGGATATATGTGACATAGAAAATTGTTGCTAGACTGAAAGAAAATTATCTTTACCGAATATGGGAAATACAGGGTGAGATAAAAAAACTGCAGCATTTACATTTTTTTTTAAATTCATTGAATGAAAGCAAAAATGTCGGAAATTGCATCAAATTTTAGAATAAATTTAGATTTGTTCGAATTGGTCACCTTTGGCACGAATTATGGACTTCAAACGGCAAATGAAACCGTCACACGCTGCCCAAATGTTGCTCTGCGGTATTTTGGCCCATTTCCGGCTAAGCGCGGATTGGTATCCGCAGATTTTGGTGGCCATTGTGCGCTGGAAATGAAGCGAGGAATCTCATTTTGACCATTTTTGGTATGGCGCGTGCTGAGTGCGATGGTCCAAGGTCTGCGGCCAAAATGTTTGCGTGCACAAGGTTTTAATACACCCTCCACAATTTTTCGCCGAACGCAGACACACATCGACCCTATCTGAACTCACCACATGTAGCAATTTCTTCATTCCACCTCATTATTACATCCCTTAAATATTTTCAAATTATCCATTACACAAATTTTTAATTTCTGAATTTTCTCTCCTCCCTCTCTCTTTTCCAGGTTGCATCCTCGCTGAACTGTACACTGGTTTCCCTTTGTTTCCTGGCGAAAATGAAGTTGAACAGCTAGCTTGCATTATGGAAATACTTGGACTGCCGCCAAAAGATCTCATTGCCACAGCGACCAGACGTCGCCTGTTCTTCGATTCGCGTGGCGCTCCACGTTGTGTCACAAACTCCAAGGGCCGTAAACGTACGCCGGGCACCAAAACTCTATCCCAGGTGTTGGTGTGTCAAGATCGTCATTTTATCAATTTCCTCTATCGTTGTCTGGAATGGGATCCTGCGGAACGTATGACACCCGATGAGGCTGCTCATCATGAATTCTTACAGCCGTCTTCGTCTTCCCGTCATCGTTCGTGTCGCATGTCCACATCGTCATCGACCGGTGGTCTGAATAACTCATCCTCGCAGAAATCGTCATGTTATAGCTTTGCCGATATCTCACCCTCGGCAGCAAATAGTGGCAGTGGTCCAGTTGTGGCCTCCATTACAAGCACCACAACCGTTAGCAATGCTGCCATAACAACGACAACAAATAAATCCACACGCTCCACAAACATACCCCACATGACCACCACATCAACTGCCAATGGGGGCAGTGGTAGCCATCATCATGTCTCCTCATCACTGCATCCCACCCATGCTCAATCCTCAGGTCATTTACCCGACATTAAGTTATCGGCTGGTGATAAGTACAATAGCATGCAAAAAATGGCTGTGCGTTCCAAGATAACATCATCGGTATCAGATCTCGAATCCGTGCAACAATATTCGTTACATCGTCTGTATGGCACCACGGGTGGCTCCAATGGCACCCTGGTGGGTGGTCACAGTAACTCACACCTCACCCAATCTGCATCACGTAAACACTTGATAACCGGCACAGTGGGCTCCACATCGTCCATTAAATATGGCGGCATTGCCACATTGGGTCACAATCATCACAATGGCAATCATCATGTGCCGCAATTGAATGGCTCCTCGCATCATACAACGGCCTCGAACAATAACATTAATATGTCGCATTCTCAATCGACTGGCGATGTGTCGGCCATATTTGGACGTGCTTGACTTCGTGCCCGACCCACAAAACTTGAGCTCAAAAAATGCAAACTAGTCAATATGGTGGATTTTTGGAGCTAGAAGTGGAAGCAACTGGGCACGGACAATGGCAATGCCAATGGCAATGATGAGACAAAAACGTGAGAGGAAAGGGAAGAGCAAGTGAACGAGAGAAATGCTAAAAGATTGATTGTCCGTCTCAAAAAGATTATGAATGAATGAATGAATTGAGTTTTCCAGAATCATGGAGGAAATGTTGCAAAATGCTGTGTTTTTAAGAAAAAGTTTTTAATTTTAAATTTCTTTCTTTAGATTATAAGAATTAATAATTAGTAATTAAGTAAAGAAAGTGATCAATATATATCTATAAAATTAATTAAAAAAAAATATATAATAATAAAAACTAAAATAATTGAAAAAGAAAAAAAAAAGGAAAGAAATATAAACTACAATTGAAAGTGGTAGAAAGTAGGAGAAACCAATTGCTCAATGTAACCAATAAAGGAACGAATTGAAAATAATTATGAAATAATGAAAATAAAAATTCACCACTGCTTGAAAGGGTCTAAAAATGGAAATAGCATATTTTGGTTGATGTATTGCGTTTGAAAAGGATTTTTCGAGTATTTTTCCGGAAAAAAAATTGGTGTGGTGAATTTCTGAAGAAACTCACCACGGTACAAAAATTGTGTATAATGATGAAGAAAACCCTGCCAATTATTTTTGAAATAATGAGAAGAATTTTTGGGCCATTAGAAAAATTTTATTGGTGGTGAAATTTTCGTTAAATTCACCACAAATTTTTTTCTTCATGGAAATTCAAAAATTGGCGGAAACATAAACATTTTTGGACCAATCGAAAGTATTGATGAATTTTTGCCACCATAAATAAATGGTAACTACAGTAAATATTCTCACCACACTTAATGAATACAGAGAGACATACAATGAATTTGCATATAAACTTTTTTACCATAAGCCAGTAATCAATGGTTTGTAATAACTTTATTAAACTCTAATGGATTTTATATACTAAAAGTAAATTAACAGACATATGTTTAACGTAACTAAATCCCCACCCTCCACTTCCTGTTACAACAAAAACAAATACATAAAAAAAAATAAAAATAAATATTTAGATATAGCATCCATATTTATATCAAATATGTGATTATATACATATGTATGTTTCCCTTAATTTCCCCCCCCCCCCCCCCCCCCCTTGGCTACCACAAAGGATCATTAAACTCTACAAAAATATAGAGAGGAAGAGAAAGTGTAGCTATTTAAATGTGTCTATAATGTTGATAACACAAATAACGAACAAGTTTTATAAAACCTCTAGACCAGTAATACATATATAAATGTTTAATAATGAGTATAGTTATATATAAACAAATTTTCATTGCCAATAATTATTATAAATATATATAAAAAAATTATAATACAGGGCTTTATTTGATTTTCGCTCCGATAAGTCAAATTATTGATTTCAAGCCCATAAAACAAGTATATCCCCCAATCTAAAAACATAAAAAACAACCTCCCCCCAAAGTATTTAAGTGACTAATAATTAATGTGCAGTTTATGAGTTTCAATAACTCAAAGGCATCAGGTCATGCAATGCAATGCCGTAACCTTTTAGGGGCAATTTGCCAAAATTATAATGCCCCACATATATTCTCTAGACTTTAAATCTGTAAATTGACAAATAATATCTGTCCTACTATTTTTACTTAAGTCTTCGTTTCCATTTCTATTTTATGTTTGCCAGTTACGCTTTACTTTTTTCCATTTAATTTTTAGTTTTTAGCAAAAATAACATAACCTCAATTTTTCATCACAAAAATTATATCACTCACACATACACACACACATTAAACAAACAACAACAACAAAGTGTTCGAATTATATTTTTCTTAGTTTATAACAATTATATATTTTTTCCTATCATTATTTTATAAGTCTGTAAACACAAAAAACCCCATATACATAATATAAATATATATAGAAGATTTAAAATTAATTAAAATTAAACGTATAAATTGTATTATACAAAGAAATCAGTAAAAAACACAAACAAAAAAAATTTAAACAATCAATTTATCTTTTATTAAAAATAAAATTAATTATAAAAAATTGAACAAAAAAAATTTAAAAAAAATCATCTGTGTGGACTTTTTGTTTTGGATAATCTGAAATCATTGGAAAATATTTTGTAGACAAAGATGTACTATATAGCTAATACTCTGGGAATATGTGCCATAGAAGTTGGAAGAGCAAATTAGTCATTTAAAATGAAGGAAACCATTGAAAAACCATGCAAAATCATTAAATAAAAATTCTCATACATTTAAACTTATCTAAAATGATGATAAGGGTATTTTTACTTACAGTAAAATTTTAAATCCGTTCTTCTGAATAGGTTTGAAGAAAAAATTGGTGTGGTGAATTTCTACAGAAACTCACCACGGTTCAGGAATTTCGTAAAATGAAAATAAATACATTTAACCCTTTTTTACAACTTTAAAGTGGTGGAATTCATACAGAATCCTGTTAAAACATTAGCATATATTAATGGTGCAATAGAAATTCACCTCACTTTTAGCTTGTCTAAAATAATGATAAATGCATTTTTGCGTACAGTATCATTTTAAAATCGTTTTTCTGAATGAGTTTTAAGAAAAAAATTGGTGTGGTGAATTTCTACAGAAACTCACCACGGTTCAAAAATTTCGTAGAAATGAAAAAAAAAACACATTAGAGACCTTTTGTGTGAATTTTACAACTTTAAAGTGGTGGAATTCATACAGAATCCTGTTAAAAACATTAGCATATATTAATGGTACAATAGAAATTCGACTTTAAAGAAAGCACGTAAAATGAAAATTCACCACAGTTTGAACTTGTCTAAAATAATGATAAGGACATTTTTGCTTGCAGTATCATTTTAAAGTTGTTCTTCTGAATGAGTTTTAAGAAAAAAATGCTGTGGTGAATTTCTACAGAAACTTACCACGGTTCAAAAATTTCGTAGAAATGAAAAAAAACCACATTAAAGACCTTTTGTGTGAATTTCACAACTAAGAAATGGTGGAATTCATACACAATCCCATATCCAATAGCCAATAGAAATTCACCTTAAAGAAAAACGAAAGCTTTGAACCGATATATGCTTTCAATGCGAAAATAAAAATTCACCATTGTCTTAAAATATTATTATTGAATTTGTATTCAAACATTTAGTTCGGAAATATATTTCAATGTTTTCTTTTCATTTTTTTTGCAAAATTGATTGTGTTGGATTTCTATAGCAAGTTGTCAACGGTAAACACTATATTACATTATTTTAGAAAAAATAGTATGCATGTTTTATTAAAGTTTTTAAGCTGCTTCAATGTTAAAATGCTGAAATTCTCAACTCAATTCCATTTGAGGGAAGCATTCATTAAAATTTTGAATTCAAATACTTTTCAAGGAAAGCCTGGACCAATATGACATATTTTAGAAACTGATTTAACTAGGACAAAAAAGTGTTGAAAAGTTCAAAATTCTGGAGTGAATCGAGTATTCACCCAATTTTATTATATCGTAGATATTAAAAAAAAATGAGACTGGGTGGCGAAGATGCAAAAATAATGTATATCCTTCAACTTGATCTATGTTTAGCAATTTTTTTTCGAACTGACGAATTTGGATAATCCATATGGATTTTGTATTTGACGAGGCACTTGTTCATAATTTTAAATGTACAGCTACAAAAAGTAAAAGTTGTCTATAAATGAAAAATTACTACCATCTCCCAAAGTCACTTTGATCTGCCACAAAAACTGGGGAACCTGGAACCTGCTGACATAAAAAAATAGTAAATTTCAGTTCCAAATGATTTTAGAAAAATGTTGGTGAGAAAATATTGGTGTGGTGAATTTCAAAAGAAACTCACCACGGCACGAAAATTTCATAAAACAAAAAAGGAACGCTACTTAATCATTTTTAGAGCATATACAATGATTTCTAAATATTTTTCTAATTTTGTCAGTGGTGTAATTTTTATAAAATTCGACAAAATTTCTTATATCCCAAAATATGGCAAATGAATTGAGAAAGACTACTTTAATGGTTTTCGTTGTGACTAGGTGTACATAGGGTGGTACTTTATGTTTGTGAAATGCCTTTTAGTTGTTCTCTGAATTAAAAGGAATATGTCTTTAAGAATACCTCTTTTGATATGTCAATAAGATGGCGCTTAGGTGGATTTTTAAATAAGGAATATTATTATATGGCTTCTTGAAATTTAAAAGTTGGTATTTTTTAGAAGTTTAAATTGCAGTGAATTTCAGAAAATGTTTGAAGAAAAACATTGCTATGGTGAATCCCAAAAGAAACACACCAAGGGTCGAACATTGAATAAATAAAAATAGAAACACTACTTAATCATTTATAGGTCTTATAAAAATGACATTCAGTTGAGAAAGCCTTCCGACAGATCTTCGATATATAAATAGTCTTATGTATGAGTTGGCACCCAGGACTTCTAAATGAAAACTTCTTCTGAAGTTTGTGTAAAATGACTCACCATTGAAGATAACCACTTATTCAATTGCAAAAAAAGGAAATTAAAGCAAACTATATTTGGCGAATTTCTGAAAAATGACACTTTTTATGTAAAAAGAATACTTTAATTGCAAATATGTTTCAGAGAATTCTTAAGAAAAAATATTGGTGTGGTGAGTTTCTGGAGAAACTTACTATGGCACAAGTACGTGAAAAAAAATGAGAACGAAACACTTTTGCAGCGTTTGTACATGATAGAAAAGGATTGTAGTCTCTTCCCTAAGTTTTTGTTGGTGGTGAAATTTATATTAAATTCTCCACATCTTAATTTTTTCACCAAACTTTAAAATTAAACTAGGATGACGCAGCAATGATTTTCTATACAGGAAAGTGAAACCCTTAGGAAACCCCCTTCTGATATACCAGGAGGTTTTTAAGAAAAAATATTGGTATGGTGAATTTTTGGAGAAACTCACCACGTCACGAAAACTCTAAACAATTACAACGAAACACTTTAAAAACATTTGTACATGATGGAAAATAATTATATGCCCTTTTCCAAAATTTCCGTTAGTGGTGAAATTTATGTTAAATTCACCACATTTTAATTTTTTTAGGGTGACCCCGCAATGATTATCTTCTTCCGATATAAAAGTAACCAGGAGATCTGCGGTATAGCATGACCTTTAAGTGTTAAAAGATGGAAAGTCTTCTATATGATACGATATAAATTTACAAGGTGACTTCCAGGTAGTTTCCAATTTTTTAAATTAAAAAGGAGGATTATCAACTTTTTCTAAAAATTGTGGAAGGCATCATGTCAACAGTCCTCATGCAAAATATCGCTTTTGATGGCGATTTCCAAAACTCCACTTTATGATAAGGATCCTAGTTTCAGACGCTTTGTTGTAGGCTTGTAAGAATCTTTAGAGACTGAATTAGAGAATTAGTGTGGAAAATAACATCTGAAACTAAGTGTTTCGTAATTCTGGCTAATAAATGTATGTGTCAACAGTCCTCATGTAAAATATACCTTCTTTTGGTGTCGATCTCTAAAACCCCACTCTATAATCGAAAAAAAAGATCCTAGCTTTCAGACTCCTGTAAGAATCTTCAAAGTCTAAATGCAGCCTTGAGGCCGGGGGGATGTGGGCTACCCCCGAAACGTATTATTTTTCTGTTTTTTTTTTTTTTTTTTGGATCTTTCATTTTTCCACAGATTAGGTCTGTAAAATATTATGATTTTAACAATTTTTTATGAATATGCAGTCTAACCTATTTTTCAAATTTTCCTTCATTTTATCCCATTCGTTGCGGAGATATTTGTATAGCCCCCATAAACGGTACCTCCCGATATTCGGGAATTTAGAGAGATTATTCACTGGAATTGTTTCAAATTTCATATTTGAAATTCGTAATGCCTAAGAAAAAAAATTTCATATAGTTCCCATGTAAGGTTATTCATTTGAGTGGTATTTTTCGGATTTTTTTTTAAATTTTCAAGTTCCTTCCAATTGGTGGAGGGTATTAAAAGTTCGGCCCGGTCAAACTTAG